GAATCGCAAATTCCACGGTGTCTGGTATCATAAAACGGTTCGAAGAACGTCTGACTCTTGATCGGAAGTGAAGAAAAAAAAAGCCGTCAAGTCAACGAGAGCGATCACAAACGCGTGGTTGGGGCCTTTAAACGGAAACCGAATGCCTCAGTTCGAGATGTGGCTAACAAGTTGCATGTGAGCAAGACTTTCGTGCAGAATATCAAAACTCGACTACGTACGTACCGTGACGAGAAATAGAATATGATTGCAAAAAGCCATGCCCATATGTAAAATGGCCGATGCTAATCGCCTTAGAAATCACACAATTTTTAGCGATTTAAGTGATCATTGCATGATTTTAGATTTTTGGTAAAGTTATCAAAAAAAGTAATTAGCCACGATATATTACAAATCGAGTTCAACAGATCTAGCGAGCCAGTAGTGTAGTGGTAAGCGTGATTACCTCTCACCCCAGCAGGCCTGGGTTCAATCACAGTCGGCGTCGCCGGGATGTTCTGAGGCTTAACATCTCCCCCGGTTCATGAGTTGATGGGTCGATAGGTAGGGTTCAGGTGTGGGAGTAGCCTCCTTGGCGTCGGTAGCATTGGTGCTCAGCACGGAAAACAAGATCGACGGAAAACAAATCAAGGAAAATAACAAATAATTCAAAAGATACATTGATGGCGTTGGACCTGTACAAGATGTAAACACATGCTTGAAGAATATGTTATCAAACTACAACGCAATATTGAATGATTGCATCAAAATTATTACAAAATATGTAAACGTTAAATGTACACAATGCTCGTCGATGAGCCTTGATTTGTGGACATTAATTAAAATTAAAAACAATTATTTAAAAAAAATCTCGTCGTGATGCTAACAACACTCGTTGTGCGGAACTATTAGCTAATATACAAGCAAAAAAACTTACTTTGAAAGTCTGTTGAACAATACGTCACACTCAAAATTATGGCAAAATATCAACACAATACATCAAATCTCAGAACAATAAAAAACTGGTAATAAATGACAATTGTATAACTGATAGTAAGTTAATCTGCGAAGCATTTAACGAACACTTTTCAACAGTTTGTTCAAAATTAGCAGAAAACATCACTCTGACGGATTCAAACCCATTACAATACATAGAACCGATTGCAAATTCATTTTTTCTACAACCCGCATCCGCAAATGAAGTTGTCCTGCTAATCAATGAATTAAAAACTAATAAAAGTCCTGGCCCTAATCATATCCCAGCAAAGATAATTTAAAAAATGTTGTTTCGCTTTCACGTATTTCAATCTAATGATTCAAAGAGGTATCTAGCCAGACTGCTTTAAAACTGCGAACGTTATCCCAATATTCAACTCAGGAGATTCAACAAAACCTGATAATTATCAACCTTTATCGACCCTCTCAGTTTCCAACAAAATATTCGAAACATTATTGATAAATCACACAGTTCGTTTCTTAGACAATCTTAGAGCACTTTATAGTATGCAATATGGATTTTGCAACAGAAGCAGCACTACCGTCGCTATAACTGAACTTGTTGGTCATATACTGGAGGAAACAGGTTCCAAGAGATATGTGGGAGCTTTATTCTTAGATTTTAAAAAAAGTCATTCAACACTCTGAATCACGACATTTTACTACGTACGTTAGATCGTTGTGGAATCAGAAGAGCTGCAAATGATATAGTTCAAAGCTACTCAAAAGGCAGAACTCAATTTGTTTCGTATGACGGAGAATTAAGTTCCCTGAGACAAATAAATACAGGAGTTCTCCAAGGGAGCAATATTGGGCCCTTCCTATTTTTCATTTACATTAACGATATTAGAAAAACTCGCCTTGCTGGTACTCCGAGGTTGTTTGCAGTTGACACAGCCTTATTTTATCCGAATGTCGATCCAAAAGCGATTATTTCAAGCATGAATGAAGACTTACACATTCTCCAGGAATATTCATAATCCTTCCAATTGTTCTAAGTTTTGTAATGGGTGTTAACGTCATAGAGCAAGTAGAGTCATTTAAATATTTAGGTATCCATCTAGATTGTACCTTGTCTTGGGATCTGCATATTAAGGAACTAGCGGGAAAAGCTTTATCTGTGTGTGGAATTTTGAAACGGGTTAGTTGTTTCATTCCTCAAAAAGTTCTGCTTATGTTCTACTACTTAAAAGACTGCAAGTATTAAAAAAATCGATGAATTAAAATAATATATAATCTACCTTTCCTGTTTCCATCTGTTCGGTTGTACACAGATTTCCCACATAAAGTATTGCCTATACAAGGCATGTGTGAAGAACAAACATTGCTCTTAATTCAGAATGTGCAACATAATTCAGCAAGTATCCATAATTTAAGTATAAATGTGACGCCACGATTGCACAACCCCAGGTAAATTACTCATCTCCCTCGATAACGTGCGTATTCAAACTTTGGTAACAAACGGTTAACTTATATAGGTCCAGCCAAATATAACAACCTACCCAGAGATATACAGATGCAAACATATCGTTCATCATTTAAATCTAACATTAAGTGTTATTTACGATCTCAAATACCAGAACTATTAATTTAATCTTTCTCATATTTAATTTCTTTATGACGTAGGACTCCGTCTGTGATTTCTATATGTGGGTACACTTTGTGAAAACCGAAAATGGAACAAGTAACAAAATTATGAAAGATTTTGAATGTTAATAACTCAGCTGCCCCATGATCAATTTCAATAATTTTATCACCAATCGATCACAAATATTTCTACGCGTCTGATAAATTTAAGATTTAATCATTTTCAGAAGTCACTATTGAAAATTGCATCAATTGCACTGTTGCTATGATAGTTAAAATTATCACCGATTGCCTGCGAAAAGCGATTTCTCTAACACAGATTTCAAAATTGAATTCCAACCGGTCTCACCACACGGTGTTTATTCAATCACCGCGTGGTGTGTGGTGGTGTTCTCTCAACCACTGATCGGTTTCAGTTCCAATCACCGTGTGTTGGGGTGTCCGGTCGTCGGCATCAGCAGCAGCAGGGGTTTCGGCACGTGGCGTTGAACATTGTTCTCCAGTACACAACGAAAGACTGCCTGCAAGCAGCGAGCTGTAGCCCACATGAGAATTCATAGAATGAGGAAGAAGCCGCACCGCTATTGATCAGAAGCAGTAGCTCTTCGTGAGTCGCTGTGGGCCATCTATACCAAGCGCGTCATCCTCATTCCAAACAACTTGCAGCTCACCAGCCTCATCTGTGTTTAACACCCTACTAGCTCAGCATTACACAACCATCACAACAAAACGGTCCTTTTCAGGACCACCATAAATTTGTAAAAGAGCATATTTTGAACATATTTCAAGGTCATCAAACGGTCAGTTCCCATATCAAGATAGACCTGGAATTAGGGCGTAACAATATAACCGACGGTAATGTGGGGCAATGGCGTGCCTTGAATACCTGAAAATCATCAAGGGAAGTCATTGTTTACAAAAGTTGTTACGCCTAATTCCAGCTCTATCTAGATATGTTTAAATCTAACATACCATGTTTTTGAAAGCAAAATTGGGGATGCAATTTCAAAAACCAAAGTCAGTTGCGGCTTGAAAGTGACAGTTTTACGCTGTTTACGTGAAGTTTCCTCCATATTAATAGCACTTTAAATGTGTCAATGTATGTTTAAAGAAAATAAAAAGTGATTCTTTCTGCAAAATTCTCATTCATTCACTCAGCAGAATTCAATCCTAAAAGGCTCAGCATGGAAAAAATAATAAGTGAGGAATCATCCACACGACTGCACTCATAATCATTCATGTTATGCTCAGCTGTGTTTTTTGCTTAATTCTGCGTGGGGAGAGTGGAAGGTACTCAAAAAAAAAATCGGCCCAAGAATGCTATCCTGAGGAACTCCAGCTCTGACAAGGAGTAGATCCGATTTACAATTATGATAATTTACCAGCAGAGTTGTGTCAATTAAATATTTTTGAACTAATTTTATAATGTAGAGAGGAAATTTTAACATTTTCTAATTGGCAATCAAATTGGTGTGCATAATACCACTGCGTTCCAAATTTCGTTCCAAGGAAACCAAATCTAACGTCCGGATTTTGACTCAAATGATTTTTATTTTCATAGTAGTTTGATCTTAGTTTGTAAATATTTATATTTTCATGTTTTTTTTTTAAATTGTATTGCAGACACTTTTCTATAATTCCTTGAACACAATTTTGTAGGTTCTACGTTTTTAAGTTTTTTTTTGTGTGAAAATGCCTTTTTAAAAAGTAATCAATTTTTATGTTCTGATAAAACATGTATGAAATGTTACTTAAATAAACAAAACCTTCACGCCCATAAATTTTCGTTGAATTGTGTTAGTAATATTTTTTAATGCATACGTTGAGGATGTTTTCAAAACCATACTTTCTATACTTTTCCATCACTTATACGACCACTCATACGATAGATTTAAACTCATTTCAATCCTCTTCAACAGTCCACCATTAACTACTTTAGTCGGTCTCTTGAGCAGCAAACCTATCCGAGGTAACACCCTGGTACAGGCTAGTGTAACAAACAAAACAACTTTTGCACCATCCAGGCCCATATATTCATTGCCCCCGTAAAGAAGAGGTACTCCCCACAGCTCTGTTGCACTTCAGGCTCAATGGTACAGTATTCATCATCCCATCCGTTGTGCCACTTTTTCAGCACGCTTAGCGAAAGAGAATGTGTTTTTGTATACCCATCCATAGAGGCGTCTAAAGACAAGTCAAGAATCCAGTTGGACCAGGTAGCACAGTCTTGACTCCGTAACCTATTTTTCTCCCGATTTCGCTCAGGGTATACAAGCACATGCGATTCAAGGTCTTGTTTAGAACATGATTTATGATGGTGAACCCCATTCAAATGGGTTTTCACTTTTCAACAGTCTGGTTTATTGAAAACTCTGTTTCCATCGACTTTCTCATAAGACACGATAAATCTAATCTCAAATTTCTGCTTTTATTTTCAGCGCCAACACCCAGATGGACAACGACGTAACTCCGGTCTACTTAGCGGCTCAGGAAGGACATCTTGAGGTGCTGAAATTTCTAGTCCTGGAAGCCGGTGGATCACTGTATGTTCGTGCCCGCGATGGCATGGCTCCGATCCATGCGGCCTCCCAGATGGGATGTCTGGACTGTTTGAAATGGATGGTAATTAAAATTGATTTAGCTTGGGTATATATTATTGACCGGTAGTGTTGATCAAGAAGTGTGGTTGGAACCTGTTTCAACAACCGATGAAACGAATAATTGGCGGTATGTTGCTTCCCAGCATTGATCCGGCAGTGGATATGGTGACCAACTTGGTAGTTGGTGACATTTTTTTTTATCGTTCCCTATGTTGAACCATCATTGACGATAACAGGTTGCATTTTTTAGTTCCACTTCAATCGTTTGAAATGTGCATTTATCAGCAAGATCGTGGTTTCTGAAGCTAAAGGTATACGACGAGTAATACAACTTGATGGAAGGGTGGTATGCCTGCCTGTAAAAGGGAGCAATGAGACTATTTTTTTTTTCATCGATTTTTTTACAGTTAGCGTAAAACGGAGTAAAGTTGATCAAACCGTTGCGTCATTGAATTTTCTATTATCGAAGAAAAAAAATCGTAAAATGGTTTTTAAATAACTTTTTTAATATTTCAGTATCTTCTTCTTCTACTTATTCGTATGTCAAGCTTATTGCTTATCGCATATTAGCTTATGGTATGCTCTCAGCTTACTGTTCTACACACTTAGTTTTTTCTACCGAGCTCGGCTGTGCAAATCTCGGCAACAAAAGTTTTACTGAGATCTCAGCGAACATTTCATTTGTTTGCTGAGATTCAACTAAGCAAAACCCGAGACTCAGCAATCAAATGTCACTTTTGCTGAGATCTCAGTGAAACTTTTTTTTGCCGAGATTTGCATAGCCGAGTTCGCTAGAAAAAATTAAATGTGTAGACGCACTTCCACAGTTATTAATTGAGAGCTTTCGAAGCCTGTTTCATTTTCGCATTAGTATAATTGTGTGACAAGTACAATATCTATGCCCAGGGAAGTCAAGAAATTTCCAACCCGAAAATTCCTAAACCGGACCGGGAATCGAACCCAGCCACCCCCCGAGCACGGTCTTGCTTGGTAGCTGCGCCTTTACCTACTGAGCTAAGGAAGGCCCCTTAGATATTTCGGAATGTATTCGGCAAAACTACTTATTTTGCCTAATTTTGGGCTGCTGAATCTGAATCTTAAAACAGATTTCTGGTTTATATGAAAAACTGATATTAATTATCTTTTAGCTAATTTTGCAACCAGACAAAACTTTTTGTACCTAAGAAGACATTTTTTTCTGCAGAATTCTTCTCACTTGATTATTTTTCAACGAACCAAAATTAAGTATCTACAAATGCTAACATTACACTGCAACCAACTCAATCAACTTCACCGCAGGATTGAAAATTAGCATTTTTAATCACATTTTAATACTAATAAATCAACGATACATGCAATAAAGACTGTACTTGAAAAAAAAATCAACAGACAAAAATGATCACATATTAGCTATGTTTTTGAAAAGTTGGCTTATTCAACCTCTTCTCCTAGGCTAAATGCCTGCACCTTGGGCTTAACGCTACCCATCAAATCCTGTGCAACACTTGCGCCATCTTTCTTACACACTTTCATCCATTCTTTCTTCAAATCCTTGTCGTTTTTGAAGACCTTTCCTGTTTTCCGGAGCTAGCCCTTCATAATCTCCCACACAGCTAAAAAAAGTAGTGTAAATTTCCTTTACTAAGATGCACATAAATTGAACGTCATATATCATACAAGGTGACATCATAAATCGTGTAAATTTATGAGACATGTCATGAAATATTCCATATATTGTATGCAAATGTCCATCTTTGTCAGCAACATTTCTTGCAAGTTGCTAGTTTACGTGAGAAGGAAGTTTTCATGCTTGAATGTGCAAAAATTTTTCTGTGCAGAATTTTTCTATTTGGCGAAGTTCTGGCGATTTTGACGGATTTGCCTCTTTAAGCACAAAAAAATAATATCGTTGGTTCGTACCACTACATCACCGGTTTCGCGTAATGGAACGATGCCAGATCCGGGGAAAACAGAGTGTCACCTTGGTGAGAGCAGAGGAAGGACAACAGGCGCTTTTGGAGGCATTCTTCTTTATATATTTGGCCGTTGATGGTGCCGGTCGTTATGTACGGCTAGTTGAATTTGCCGCACCCACAGATCGCCTTGACGACCTTCCTCTTCCGGAACTTCTCCGGAACATCCAGGCAGGGCTTTCCGACGAAAAACTCCCGGCCGGGGATCTGCTTGGCGTCCGCTTTAATGCACGTCTCGTCGTCCATTACGATGCATTTCGGCTGCACCTACCACTCGCGGTACAGCTTCCTCGCGCGGGATTTGGAAACCACATTCTGTTTATAGGTTCGGTTAGGCGCCTTTCTAACTTTATTATATGCTGGACGTACCAGGCGGAAGAATTGACCTTCTTGGCCACGTCCCGAATCGAAAGGTTCGGATTGCGCTTGAAGTAATCCCTCACCTTCCTTGCGTTCATGGGGTCGGTCGTCTTCGCTTTTCTTCCGCTGCTGGGTCCGTCTGGGTCTTCTTGAACGATTTTATCACACGGGACCCGGTCGAATTACCGATTCCAAACTATTTCTCGATCCACCTGTGGGACTGGCCTGGATTTTCCACGACCGCTCACATAATTTTTTGTCGAAGCACATTTTGCTTGGAAGCCATCTCGATAACCACTTTACAGATTGTGACGATTTTGTAGATGTAAACATTACACTCTAAAATAGTTTTACTCAAAATTTCTTCAATTTTTACCCATGCATTAAAAAGTTATGCACAAAAGAAAGTGTTGCATTTTTTTCGAGCACAATTTTTAGGACAAGATTCAGTGAGGCATATTGCAATAGATGACACAGTTTCAGTGGTAGTGAAATCCAAATTTAGGAGCAAGCAAAGCATTTCCAGATAAAAAGTTATACAAAGATATTCATAGGTTTACGCACAATACATTTTCAAATTGATTTGAGTTTGAATTTTCATAAAAATAACATATGTCCAATCCACACATTTTCACTGACATTTACTCCCGTATTTCATGAGCTTGTTGGTGAATGAAGTAATCGAGAGTGATTGTGATGAATACAATCAAATGTGGTTTCTAGTACTGTGTGCTTCTAGTACCTCCTGAACATATTCATTACAGCTAAAATACTACTTTTCGAAATTATGAAACTATGAGATATTATAACAATAATTTGTATATGTGAGATGCATGAAGAGAAGGTAAAGTTTGTGAATGACACTAAAAAGCAGTCAATTTTGTATTCAGAGGGTCACAATTAGCTATTTTAACTGTAATGAGTAATCGTCATGAGTAAGTACTATTCGTTGTACACAGTAAAACAATTATTTTGATGTATAGCACTTCAATCTTGTCAAAAATATGGTGTAATATTTTTGCCAAAAAGGACAAAATTATCATAAATACTGTGCATGAACTGACGTAATGCTGCTTTTACTACATATGTTTATTTTTGTGGCCATAAAAATTACATGAGATTTTCGACATGATTGAAGTGCATCCTCTTGGATGTAATATTAAAATTTATTTTTTGCTGTGTAGCTAATTGCTAATTGTGACACTCTGGAAGTGAAATTAACAGGTTTTATGTGTCATACATACATTTTACCTCGTCACATATACACATTATTATTATAATATCTCATAGTTTCATAATTTTGAAAAGTAGTATTTTAACTGGATTGAGTATGTTCAGGCCTGCCTCCTACTATAAACTTAATACAAACAATAGCAAACCATTTAGAGTTTGAGGTATTTGTTTGTGCATAGAACATGCTGGTTAAAAATATTCAGGTTTATTACTAATACAGAATCTATGACAAAAAGTCAAAAGACAAAAGGTCGAGAGACACAACAGGTTGAAAGGGCAAAGCTTCGAAATCCATTTTTAAGAATGACTATCTAACAAAGGTTTATATTGAAGGAACCGGATCGGTAGTCGACCAGTGCAGACGTGTTTTTAAGTTTCTCCTGCGTTTTCTTCATCTATTGTGCAGTGATGTTGATTGATTGTGCGCTATTGTGCGGTATATGCAAGGGGCGCATACAATGAAGAAGGGCTGGTCCAAACTGATGCAGTTTTTGATTTCAATGTTTTAAAACACTCAAAAATGAGTAGTATCCCAATAGTATAACCAGTGGTAACTAACGATCCTAACGGTCCCAAACAAATCGAATAACGTACCCCATTCCAGTAAAAATTCTAGTACCACACTATGTTTGTTTTGATTCGCTATGAAAGTTTGACAGATACAATGGGAGGCTCGTGGATTTTCCTATATTTCGAAGGGTGCATCGAATAGCTTGGGACCGAAGATAGTACCAGAGCTGAGCCAAAAAGTTGAGCACGTTTCTTCGGAAGCTTCTGGTCTTAGAGTTACCTCTATGGTATAACCAAGTTATAAGTTACAATTTGACATATGATTAATGTCGCGCTGATTTAGAACAGTCAGATTCAATGAGTCATTTGCATATCATTATGAACTGCCATCTGTCTCATCATTCACTGCCCCGTGAGAGTCTGAATAATTGAGAGGTAAAAGAGTCACTGACAACCGAACACTCAGTCATTAGCTCAGTCAGCACGTTTATTCTTCCGTGATGGTATCTAATAGGGTTACGGTATGTAATGTGGGTCTAGTCCTTTCATTCGGCCTATCACGCAAATAAATAATTAATTAAGGAATATTACACAAAAAATAAGGAAAATATTGATCACTGATGGTTGATAAATGTGTACCACACACAAATCAATTTATATCACAACATTTCAATACATTTTCAGCTCTCGTAAGTAATAAAACTGGTTGAGAATATCACAATGTTCGGAGTTTTTAGCCGCCATGACTTATAAGGTTAAGATGGGAAGGTTGACTGACGATCATCAAATGGCCTGATTATGGCATTTATTGATTGGAATTACCTGATAATACACACTAGACGTAAAACTTACAGTTGCTGTTTGAATATTTTATGTTTATTTTAATTGTTTAACAACGTTTTCACAAGTAAAACATGGACCCAACTTTAGGGACACATTTCTTTTC